TAAGCGGCTGGGCCTATTAACCGTGGGCTTAATAACCGGCGACTATTGTAATTGTAAACTACGATGTTGCTTATAAGGAATCCTTACCAAATGAACTAATAGGAGTGTTCTACTGTCTTTTTTGGCAGTGACCCTTACGCATTACGCACCGGCAAACGGTAGCCGTCCATGATTGATTATTGTTTGGGAGTATAATACTGCGCATAAATATTTTTGTTAGGCCTCTCAAAGGGTGACGCGCAAGTGGTCTGGATCGTAAGGATACTGTTCACTGGGTCACGTCGGTGTTAATCATAGTCGGCTTTGAAATAGGGGAAGGGGAGGAGCGAAGCTGTGTTGCTGTTTGCAGTCCTTCTTTCTCTCCTAGTCATTTGCTCTCTATAACTGAAAGTCTACCTTTTAACGCTTCCTCACTAGCGCAACGAACGCCTTTATGCCCAGCTGTTGGATATCGCCTACCAGCGCCGACCAGTCGACCTAGAGGGCTTCCTTCAGTTTGCAAATTTCGCCATTGTCGATTCACTCTTACCTGCCACCGTGAAGTTGGCTTTTAGTCAGCGGAAGTTGCAGTTCCTCGAAGAGTTCGGCGATGATATCAGACAGTGAGTATGCTTTTTAGTTGCCTTATTTTGCCCCTTCCCACATAGACATGCCTAGGGATAAGCAATCATTTTGACCCTTGTTGATGAACGTTCACCGATCGCTAAGGGAACTCACTTGTCCCAATCCGCCTTATGTCTCATTCTCTTTGATGAACTTTCACCGATTGCTAACGGAACTCACTCGTCCAGTTCTGCCTTGGGTATCATTTCTGGGGCCTTGACAACAGCCACACAGCGGCTGCTAGTCCTGGCAGATACACACAATACAGGCAGGCATACAATGGAACCTCTTAGAAAATAAGTAGAGAGCGAAAAAAGTGACGTAATGAATCACAGTTGAAGATAAGGCAAGATCGCCAGAGGTGCACAGTCGCCAGGCAGTGGCAGCCTGATTCTCAGGCCTTAGTAGGAATGAGCTTTATAGGTCACGATTGGTAGTATATTCAAGTGCTTCGTTTAGACCGTCGATTTCGACGATAATCACTATGTGTCTCCAACGGGGCGGTGCGGGGACGGTGACTTGCGCGTGAGTTATTTTTAAGTGATAGTGGACTTGCGAGCATCTAGCGAATTCTCTCTTCCCCCACCCACCTGTATTCCGTGTCAAGAAGACCGGAGGCGGGATTGGGCGCAGATGCTGGCGCGGTCGAATCTGCCCCTATGCGTGCCACCAAGCCCAGCCCCCCACATGTTCGATATTTGTCATTGGTGCACAGCCTGAATAACGCCTACCGTAGTCTAATCTGGCCCCCGTGTTGGTCCATCGCATCTACTACGCGGCCCGTTTAGAAGGCACCAAGGGCTTCGTACCGATGGTAGCGTG